GAATTTGAACACACACCAGGTATTAAGGAAAAGAGGATAAGGTTTTGGCATTCTCGTCTCAAAAATTCCAAAGGAAACCACCGCGACGTATTCTTTACAGGAACCAGCTGAGGTGAGGGTCTAGTACTACTGTAGATGCCTTGTTGTACTTGTAACTTGTTTGTATCTTTACTTGATCCAAATTAAATTTTCAGGTTTTTGGCTTGATTCTGATTTTTTATTTGTTAAATTTTCCAGGTTATGGACTTTCTCCAGCGTTTGGTTGAGTGGAAACGACAGTCAATTCGGGCCCATTCCATGCTGTAAAGACTAAAGAGTAGAAGATATATATATATATATATATATATATTCCTAATTCACCCTTCCAAGAATTGTTCAAAGGGGTGGTTAATTTAGTCAGATAATGTAATTTTCTGTTGAGGTTAAGTTTGAAAAGACAAGAAAAAGGAAAAAGAAAATTGTAACTTTTTCTTGGCTTCACTGCCTTGTACATTTTGTAACTATCCTGTACAAGGAAATATATATATATATATATGTATGTATGTATGTAACTCTGCAAGTTTATAAATGCATACTATTTGCTTGTCTTTTCATTGGACCTGATTGACTCAGTATGATTCTTCACCACAGCAATTTCACCTTTCTTCAAACCCCCTTTTCCCGAGAAAATGGTCATCCATCATACCATCGCCTTTGAAGTATTCAATTGAAAAATGATAACGAAGCTATTGGTTTTTAATTATACGAAGCAAAGTACAAACCAAATAAGTTGTTCTACATTATTTTAATGGTGGAGTATTAATATTTAAATCTCACAAAAACAATGTCTCAATGGTTTTAAGATTTCGTGACATGAGTAAGGTCATTGTAGCTGAAGTCGTTAACAATATTTATCCATATACTTGAGGTTTTAAGTTCATTTTCACCCTCTCTTAATCTCTTGTATTAAAAAAAAAAAATTAGTAATGTGAGGGATGCCTAATTTTATTTATTTATTTGTTGAAAATCAAATGACCACATACAAGAGTAAAATATGATTTTTATCACAAATGGTATACGAACTTTTCAATTAATGTGATCCTTAATCTTTTGGTCCACAACTGATCAATTTGGTCGTGCGCCTTGTGTTATGTCAAAATCTTCTTTAAGATTATTTGCCTGACCAACTTTAAAGGGGTATTTTCATCAAAATATAACCTATCCAACACCGTATCACAAAGTAAAACTCACGTATTTGACTCAACAAGGTTATCCATTCTCCTTGATGGACCCCATATGTGAAACTTTAATTGGAGAGCATATGACATGGTTGAGCAAAAACGTAAGTTTTATGACTTAAATGAACTATATTTTGATAACAATATTTCTTTTAAAGGGTGTCATGCAATTTACAAGTGACCAATTTAATGAAGGTTCGGCTAAAATGCGACAATATGGACCAAATTTATGCGTAGACTGAAAGATAAATGATCATTGCTTGATTTGACAATTTCATAACTAAAATGAGGAATTTTAAAAAGTTTAAGGAGCACATGTGCTTGTATCTTTACTTAAATATATCCAAAACAATGTCACTTTGAGTTTAAAGGTTAAGTGCGAGATTTTCATCTAAATGAAGTCCTACTTCATTGTACCAATATGCACTTTTGTGGTTAATTTCTGCAACAAATATCAATATGTAATTAAGCTTACCAATCCCCAGTGGATAGACATTGATACATCTTGCGTGCAAATTAACCTGCGGCAAGATAATGCAAATCCTAGGGACAGCTAGATTCTAGCCTTAGTTACCCTTTGAAGTATCTATAATTTGAAGATAAGATTACACATCGAAACCCCCATATTAGTGATTGGATCATTGGAGAGATTCAGGTTGTGAGAGGGCCCTCATTGACTATGATCCAAGATCCTTCTTTGCCTTTTAATCGCATGTACATGTCATGCTGAGTCATCCTCAGTCAAAGAACACTCTCCTTCTTTCAGAACCGGCACGCTTTCATTACTTCGGTTCTTCGCTCAAGGGAAAAGCAGCGCAAGAAACTTACTTAAAGAAGTCTAAAGATAGGATTAATAAGCTATATATATTCTGGTTTTTATTTTTCTATTTTATAAAATCCAATTAGATAGATTTTAAAGGTTTGCAAAAGGTTATTTCAGACCCTTTTTTTAATATTTTTTTTAATTTATAGTTTTAATCGCAAACTACAACAAAGCTCTATTGATCTTGATTAGTTGACCACAGATGGCACTGAAAAAGTATGTAGAAAAATTCATCATGTAAAAACAAATGTATAATGCATGCATCAAGTTCAAAATGGTCACGATGTTCAAGACCTAAACACCTCCAAAACATTGGTTGATCGTACTTCACATTATCAATAATTGGTGTACCATGTTCAAGACCTAAACACCTCCAAAACATTGGTCAAGTAGATCAATTTTATTTTTCCATCTCCACATGATCAATAATTGGTGTACCATGTATAGAAATCTTAAAAGTAACATTAAATATAATTCGGGGCAACTTTTTACCATTAATTGCTTTTAAGATCGTATTATGAGATCCATACCGATCAACAATGTCAGGTGACATTCCATGCCAACATATACAAGAAATTGGCGGTGACATTTCTTTCCTATATATAACATTTAGATATCAAAATAAATTCTTTAATTTATAGTATTTTTTTTTCAATAAACAACTGATCTGATATGTGTGGATAACTGTGAGTAATTAATTACTAAGAATCTCAATATGAGATCTGCATCGATCAACGATATTTTTTCATGCATGTATGTATGGGCGATTGACTGTAACACTTTTCTTTAATATTATGTCCCTTACAATTCAATTGTATATTAAAAGGAAAATTCTATGATTCACTCATGGGATACATGCTAGAGTTCATTCATGGGGATACATGCTTCCTTTTTCGCATACCATATAGATATATAGATCTATTAGATCTATCCACCTTTTCTCAGACACGAAAGAGAAAAGATATCTGATAATCGTACTTCAGATGCTTTTGGAAATACCAACTAATAAACGAAACAAACTCTTATTTTTATATAATAATTTATTATTATAAATAGAAACATGAGTTGGCAAACATACATATGTGAACTAAGATAATAGTAATTTGAAGCACTAATCATGTATGAATTGACTATATATTATTTTATTCTCATGACCCGAAAAGCTGTGCCAATGTTGTTGAAAGAAGAAACATATTCAAATCAAAAGTCCTTGGAGGAGGTGGTATATACACGATCCTCATACCAAACCCCACATACCTACCTATATATGAAAACAAGCATATATATATACATATATATTTCATGGGGTGTCATATAATTATTATACCTATAAGAGGTTGAAAGCATGTAGCCATTGCTAACAAACTACCTATTGGGTACCAAGATTTGAAGAAACCCCACCATGCATAGAGATGAATGGAACCTGTCTCATTTTAAGGGCTTCCATTTTTTTTTTCTTTTTTTTTTCCTTTACTTTTGTAAGGAGACTGATGAGGAAGGACGTTACACTTTTTGGTTAGGTATGTGAAAGTGAAACCCACCACTCTCAAACTTTGTACGGGAATCTATATATATGGTTGAATGAGGAGTTGGAATCCACTTAAAAGAGGGTTTTGATGTGAAGAAAAAACACATAGATTTTCGAATAGAGACACGAACATGGCTCCAAAGGCCTTTGAAAACCTCGGCTCCTTTTTCATACGTGGAAAGATGAAGTCCACTTGATTCAAAACCCCCCTATCATTGCTGCCTTAACTGAATTAAATATAAAGTCTTTGCAAGCCTTCAATTATTGGTCATGAGAGAAAAAGCAAAGCAAGACCCTTCCCCAAGCCCCAGCCCCAGCCCCAGCCCCAATGTGTCTCATTTTCTATCTAAAAAATCTCTCTTCCTTTTCTCTTAGTCTCCTCCATCATTCAGGTCTTGGGAAAAAGAAACCTAGGTTAGATCTTGTTTGTAGCTACACTTACATTTATATTATACAATAAATATATATATGCAATATATTAGATATGGTCTGCACAAATCCCTCTTGCTCCCACCAACCCAAACCACAAATATAATAATAATATTGCATCCAATCAGTTCATGTGTAGTGATGTTCCAATTAATGTAAATTGTGGCCATTATTTATAAGAATATGCGATGGGATTAGTTTATAAGATAGCATGGGAAGGAAGCTTATGGCTCAGTGTTCATGTTGGCTAAACAATGGTCCTGAGTAGATACGTGTAGAGGAGCTTCTGTGTGCTTGGAATGGAGCTTTTTACACGTGTTTGGCCCTAGAGAATTGGTCCCCGCATTGAAGGTCGAGCCATAGAGGCTGTGGTCTGTCTTGGAAGTACACTATAAATAAACATATATATATACATGTCGAAGATATGGAGATGGGGATGGTAATTGGTCGGGCATGACAACCCCATTGGTCACATGGATTCACATGTGAGCCAGATGCCCTTTGCTCTGTAATTGACGTGGGGAAGCAGATGAAGAGGTCCTATGTGTATATAGGTCATTGGTCGAGCTTGTCAGAAGGCTCTTGACTGGTTTGAAAGAGATTGATGGAGGAGGAGAGGAAGGAATATATATGAATAATTGGTGTGTTTGTGTTTATTGTCATTGGTGGTTCGAATATTGTATCGATTGCATGCATGAATGGGTGCAATTCTTTTTTGAGTAGAGGACGTATGAACAATAATGCATTTTGCTTGCCAACAAAAGGCCCTGACTTGCATAACAGTGGTTTCAGATCTGAATTCTCATGTTATCTTGGTAGTGTGTGGAAAAGAAATCCCTTTCTATTTTTGTAGTACTTTAGACTATCACTTACATTAAAAAAAAATAGTAAGTATAATGCATTTTGCTTGGTAGAAGAGTCAATGATTGAATTATTTGAACTCCAAGCTTTCTCTTTCTTTAACATTATTGAATATGGAAGGAAGAGTCAAGAAGCGTCTCCTCACTCGTGGTCTCAATAAATGTGGGAAAGCAAAACCTAAAAACAAAAGAGAAAAAGACGACGAAGAACACACCATGAAGTCCATGACATTGATATAATTAATGGTTTTGTATTGTTCTTGGTGAAAAAGAGCAATGGTCGATCAATTGCATTGGATCAATAGGGTTTTTAGCAGCCAGGCTAAAAAGCAGTATACGTAGACAATTGAGATTTGGCCATTCACTCACTTCTCCCTAGATTCCTCCTAGCTATGAGTTCTATCTTGATAAATTAATAGCTTGGTCGAAATAATAACATTTTGTCTCTCCACATGGACAATACATATAAAATTAATACTTTAAGTCAATTAATAAGCCACATGTAGTAAATTGGAGTTACAATCGTGATATTTTAAATTACTCTACTATGCACAAAGGAGGTATGAACTCAAGTGCAATACGACAAGCACATTGCTTTATAACCCACATTTGCTAGCAAATTGACGCTTTGGAAAAAAATAATAATTATATGAACAATTAAACAAGTCAAAAATAATATTGTCACTCTAAACACGTATGGATAAATAACTAATTCAAAAGTATAAAAAGATAAATTTATTTACACGTGAAAATAATTTTTTTCCAGAATAAATAAGTAATTTAAAGTATAGATTAAAATGCACTATTTGGAAACTAGAAATTAAAAAAAGAAAATAAACAGAATGAACTAAAAATCCCCTACTTTAAAATAAATTTAATAATCTATCAATTCCTAAGTTGATAGAGATCTTCATCGAGTCCCCAAGGGTTAATAATTTTATTGGTGAAGCTTACTCGATCTATGTTAACTGGAACAGCCAGGCAGCATACATACATATATGTATTGGAAAATGTTTACCATCTCTAACTTCCCTTTAACTATGTTTTTAAGAATAATTAAAAGACACAGTGAACATATAAAAGTAGCTGGAGTCAGCTTCACACCAGTAAAGATGGGTATGGAATATTATTTAATGGGCAGAGATTACTGAAATGAATCTTGTTCTAATTATGGGTTTATACAAGTTGGATATGATCTGCAAGCACAGATTAAGCATTTCAGAATGAGATTAAAGAATTAACGTTGCTTAATGACAAAGACAGAGAGAGCATCAAACTAATGACAATTACAACTTTATTAAATCCCATAATTATAAAGGAGCACCGAGGGCATCGGCATCGAGCATGGCTCCAAGTGAGCATGTGCAGCAGTGCAAGTCCAGGAAAGAAAAGAAAGAGGTGGGGGAGAGGGAGGCTTTTGGGGATCTACGTAATTAGTAAGCTGTAAAGTATATTTTCAGGAGAAAAAGAAGAATGGCCTGCTCTTGTTCAACACAAACTAAAGTTTCCCTCCTTTTGTCCAACACTAGTCTTTTAAAGCACCGCCTCTCTTCAAAGCTTTTTTAATTATGCAACAAAATAATATGTTCTCTTGTGGCCAACAAATAATCTTCTTCTGTATGTATACATATATAATAACTTTGGCAGATCTTCCATGGAAAGTCAGATCATTCATGCCAAAATCAATACAAATTTTGGACTGAATTTTTTATTATTTATTAAACCCCAAACATAACGATATAATTATTTTGTTCAAACTCATGTGTGTGTGGATGAAAAAAAGTATAAAATAACAAATATAGAGCGGCTGTGTGTGTTCATCACTTTCTCTCCCCATATGTAGAAAGCTAAGAAAATGGTTAAAATACATAGGAGGATGGGAAGTCTGCTAGAACTTTATTTTTCTCCCATCTGCCGTCTTCTAGAGCTCATTTAGAAAGTTTGATGCAGATGCTCTTGGTTATTTTAAGTTGCTTGTAACTTAGTCTTAACAAAATAAAAAATAAATAAAAATTCACAGCTAACTAATAGAGAATTTTTCAAGCGCATTTTTTGAAGCATAATTTGAAGGCCATTAACTTAAATTGCCACCATTGACAATGTTTTTAACAAGTAGGGTTTTACGGGCATAGACCTATGAGGATGGGGGATTCAGGAGCCGCTCTATCTACTCAGTTAATCTGACGACCAGACCTGTATGCATAGAAAGACTCGCCTAATACCTAGGCTATTACCTGATTTTTATTTTTTTTATTTTTTTATTTTTTGTATTTGTTCGTTTCCTCCTTATCCACGAAATACTGCCGCTTCTCATAAAAAAAAAAAGTTGAGAAATGTATAGGCTGGCATTACCGTTAGTGTTGGAATCAAATTGGGCTCAAAGGTTGAAGGCCTGATGACCCCATGTTTTTAGACCATTGGTATTCAGTCTGATGTCGTACAAAAGATAAAAAAATCACCTCATTATGGTGAAGGTTGGGCCTAGGTTTCTGCCTAGTTTTGTAAGTTCGTTTTTACTCATTTGGTATGTTAACTAATGACATGGTTTTAAATAAACCGAAAATATTTGTCTTAACATTTGAGATTGAAGACCATTGAATATGAAATTGAGTTCCTGATTTTTTTTTTTCCGTTCATTCACTAGGGAGGGGGAGAGGAGAGTATTATATTGGGTTGCCTCAAGATTGTCTCTTATGTAAATTGAACCTGAATATACTTCAGGGAAGGAGGAGAGTTTGGCTCACTTTTCCATTGTGGTGCCACCCCATGTGTGAAATTGAGTTCCTGATAGAGCATGTCAAACCCAAGGTCTACATAGAGAAACAAATTATTCTGTTGCTTCTGCACTTACTTTTCTTCTTTTTTTCTTTCCATAAGGGAGGTAAAAAGGGAGGAAGAAATTTGATCTCTGATATTTGGTGTGAAAAAAAATATAAAATATTGTTTACCGCAGCTATAGTTACAAAGTTCCTGCCACTGCTTCCGCACTTGGCTTGAATTGATGTAACATTTTTCTTTTCACAATTTGATCAGTATCATGGCAGCTATTTCTGCACATGCTTTAGCCGTAAGAGAAAATTACAAACAAACACTTAAAAAACAACAGAAAAGACGCATATTTAAGCATAAAAACATAGGCCTTTCCTTTCTGATTAAAATAATGAACTTAAAATGATAATCGATAACCTTCACATTCAACAACTAATATCACCACCACAATTAAACAAGGAAATGAAGATTAACAAAACGAAAAAAAAAGAAAAGAAAAAAAGAACAAGAAATTATTTCGCCACCGCCTTTACCATGATCACCATTTCTTTAGCCCTTGAATTGAGCTTCACATTTTTGGTCCAGAACCCTTGTGCCCTTCCCCAATGTACTCACCTTGAAATGGCATTCAACTTCGGTGTCCATATTCCACGTCTTGATAAACCCTTTCACCTTCACCGAAAGGTCCATTTTCAAAGCCAAAGACACACGCACCTTTGAATCAGTATCTTCCATGCTCTTCTTCACGTCCTGAGGCAACGGCCCCTTTGATCCGTCGAGAACAAGCTTTACAGCGGCGGAGTCATCTCCTCCTTGGTTCTTTAATGGAAATTTTCCTTTGCCTAGGGTTTTTTCCTTGTACATAAGAGAAGCCCCTCCACTATTTGCATAATCTATGCCATGTCCATTTGGATTTTTCACTTTCATGGACACCTCATATCCTGGATGGGAATTCTTGCCAGAAGATGATTTTGATTTGGGGTTCTTCACGTGGACATGCGTAATCGAAAAAGTAGGCTCTTTAGGTTTCTTAGTGAGGGACAATGCAAGCAATGTTATGCCAATTACAAGGCATATGAAAAACAAAATAGCTCCAATAACCAAGCAACGAGTCCCGCAGCATGGACACTTCTGCTTCTTTTTTTCGGGTTTGCGGTGACGCTCAACAATTAGGGCATTTTCAGGGGGTGGCACACGGTAGATTTGGTCTTTAGGGATTTGGATTACGTAGGTTGCTGCTCCGGGGAAGGGAGGTGGGGCGAGGGGTACTATCTGTGTCTGTGGCTCTGACAAGGGTGGGTCCTCATTGGCATCATCGTCCGCTGCTGCGGCAGGTTGGCCCCGCTCCTCCATTGTAGAATGGGGAGCGGATCACAAATGGAGAGGTGGTGTGGAGAAGGTTGATAATAAGAGAGAAGTTTGATTGCATGCATGGGAATTGGGAGGAGGTGGCATGTAAGAATGATTGGAGAATTGGAGGGTGAGAAAGGAGGGTGGGAGGTTACAACTTACATAACTAAGAAAAGAAAACTTAGTGAAACATTGAGTACAGCTCTTAGAAAGCCATGATTCGTCCAATTTTGCATCCTATTTTTGGTGTTTTACTTGGTCAATGTAGAAGGTACTTAAGATATGACACCCTTGTGTTTGTTGCTGCCATGATTTTTGCATATTCCTTGTATGGTATGATCCTAGTCCTACCCTAAATTGTTGTTGTTTTGCAATCTATTTTATGTCTTAATTGTTGCCTCGGTGAGTCTGGAGGACAAGCCTATATCGATGGTATTAATATATCTCCATATATATACTTGTGATCTCATCCGTCCATATCAGCTAGTGTTTACTTCTTAGTATTGGGATTGAAATTAATCTCACAAACTAAGCTCAACTTTCATGGCGAAAGTCCCATCTAACCTCCCAAACTCAACATCCCATCCGAAAACAGAATAAAAAACGAAGTTATTGAACGTGTTTACCGGTGCCATTAGACAAATGAGAATTCCAGGTCCAAAATGCATGGAATGAAAGGATTGGATGACGGGGTCGGGGGGAAGCTTAAATTAGGAATCCTTGCTATATTAGTAATTTATTTGGGATGGCGATTTATAATCAACTCTAATTCCAACCCTTCAACAAATTGCATAGAATGACACTACAATGCAATGCAATTTATTTAATAGGATTCGGCTCATCTATTTGGATTTTCTATGATATGCGTGACTTCTCTTCTCTATATGCCACCTTATTTAATTAGCAATCCAACAGTTAAAAAAATTAACACCACATTTTTCTTTTTAAAAAACTTAAAATAGGAACTAATCATTTTCTTCAATGAGTTCTTCCCCAAATCAACATCTTTTTCTTCATGATGGGCTTCTTTTCTTTTTTTCTTTTTCTTTTTCATTTTGATGTTTAAGACCATACTTCCATTCCATGTCTCAATAAAAAAAATAACAATGGAAAGAAGAGATTGAGCAAATTGAATAATATATAATTCTTAATAAACAAAACTGCAACAAAGAACAACAATATCTTAGAGATATAACTTCTGCTAGACCTGGCATTTGTGTCATGTTTGCAATGTTTGTGTTAACTCGCTTTTTTTAACGGGTTGACATGACACGACTCGTTAAGAAATGGGTGGAAAATATCAAAACTTGACCCGTTACTGATGAGAGTCTCAAATTACATCTTTTAAATATTATTTTGGAGACTTTATGACATAATTTTGGCTTAATAAATATAATTTCACTTGTTGTTACATTTTATTCTCACCAACAGGATTTATGAATTTGCTATATTAATTTGGTGAACTTATTAGGTGAATTTATCTTCTGTAGGAAGTTGGAAAGCCAAAAGATAAAGACGTACATTTGTCCAAGTTCAAGCTAGGTGTGAAGAGAATTGCTAGCGGATTTTATTGAAGAATTGATTGAGGGATTATTGTGATTATAAAGAGAAGTAAAGAGGAAGAAGAGAAGACAAAACCATTGAAGCTAAAGAGCCTATTTCATATCATTCATAGCCATTTAACGCCCACTTACCTTACCATTATTTTTTTTCCACTAACTCTCCACCATCAACACATGTTTAATCCAATTAATCCATCAATTAAACCCTTCATCACCCACCACGAATGTATTAACTTCCCACTCACCTCATTAACTACTATAAATCACCCATCAACTTATTTGGCAAGGGCACCCCTA